TACCATCATTGTTTCTTGCAACTTCTAGTCCAAGAAAATATCTGAGAGGCTCTAGATCTTTCATTTTGAATTTCTATCTCAAGGTGGATTTCAAATTATTGACGGCTCCTTCATTATTGCTAGCTATCACAATGTCGTCAACATATACCAGAAAAGCCAGGAAAGTACCTTCTTGATTTTTAATGAATAGTGAATGATCATATTGTGACTGATGAAATCCTTCTTGACTCAAAACGGTGGAGAACTTATGGAACCATTGTCGTGAAGCTTGTCTTAAACCGTAGATGGATTTATGCAATCGACAAACAGCATGTTGTGGAAAAATCTCCCCCTCTCGAGGAAAATATCCTGGAGGAATGGATATGTAAACTTCTTCGTCGAGATCTCCATGAAGAAAAGCATTAGTAACATCAAGCTGAGTAAGACTCCAATTAAATACAGCAGCAAGAGACAGCAAAATTTTCACAGTAACCAATTTTACAACAGGAGAAAAAGTTTCAGTAAAGTCTATTCTAAACTGTTGTGTAAAACCTTTGGCAACAAGGCGTGCCTTGTGCTGTTCAATGGATCCATCAGCCTTATATTTGATCTTGTACACCCATTTACAGTCAATTGATTTCTTGCCTGGCAGAAGAGAAACGACAGTCCAGGTATGATTGTTCTCTAAAGCACGTAACTCCATGTTCATGGTATCTCGCGATACTGGTGTCTGGAGTGCCTTAGCAAAGGTTTCTGGCTCAGTGTGGGAAGAAAAAGCAAATATGTAATTAAGGTAATGAGGCTTGATTTTACTATATGTGAAGAAGGAAGATAAGGGATGATAGGTCTTGGTGGTCGCAGTGTGGTAGCAGTGATAGTCAGACAAGTGGGACGGTGGTCTAGTGACACACTGAGGACAAGATGTAGTAATGGGAAGAGTGGGGGGTAGTGTTGATCAATGGGCCGTGAAATCTCATTGTCAAAAGGAGTAGGAAGAACTCTATCATGAAAGATGTCATTGTGGGTGTCAGTGTGTGGTAGAGAAGAAAAAGGGAAGATATCCTCATGAAATATGACGTGCCGTGAGATGTGGATTTGATTGCTTTCAAGATCAAGGAGCTTGTATCCTTTATAGCCAAAGGGGTAGCCAAGAAAAACACAAGCACGAGAGCTGGGTGAAAATTTATGTCTGTGGCTCTCGAGTGTGGAACTGTAGCATAAACAACCGAAAGTGTGTAAATGGTCATATGAAGGTTTCTTGTTATATTTAGTAACTCAAAATGTGTTTTATTGGAGAGTAAAGGAGATGGAGTGCAATTGATGATGTATACGACAGTCATGACACAATCCCCCCAATAAATTAGTGGGACATTAGATTGAAAGAGTAAAGCACGTGCAACATTCAGAATATGCTGGTGTTTACACTCAACAACAGAGTTCTGCTGTGGAGTTTCAACACAGGAATGGAAAGAAATGATTCCTTTAGATTTGAAGAAAAACTGGAAGCTTAGTTCATGCGCATTATCAGACCTCACTGATTTAATTAGAATTTTATATTGTGTGAGGATAAAAGTATAAAAATTAGGAAATGTGGTGTGAACATTAGATTTATTTCGAAGAAGGTATACCCATGTAGCCCAAGTACAGTCATCAACAAAGGTGAGAAAATACTTATGTCTTTCCGTAGTGGAAATGGAAAAAGGACCCCAGATATCAATGTGAATTAAATCGAAAGGATTATCAGACAATTAATTTGTAAAAATGAAAGGTAAACGTTTTTGTTTTGCAAGATGACAAACTTTACAATGATAAGGAATATTCCTTGAAACATCATAAACTTGTAATTTTTTATTTAAATATTGAAATTTAACAAGAGATGGATGACCCATTCTAAAGTGTCAAAGACAACTTTTAGCATTAACATGATCAAAGTTAACTGAATTATAAGCAAAATTCTCAGTAATTAAGTAGTAGAGATTGCCAACATGACTACCATTCCCAATCGACAATCCCCGAGTGAGGTCCTGAATGACACAAGAATTAAGAAAAAAATTAACAGTGCATAAATGAGTTGTGATCAAACTACTAACACTTATGAGATTGAAAGTAAATTCAAGAATATACAGGACATCGAATAAGGTTATGGATTCTGTCAAGACCACGCTATCGACTTGATTGACTATCACGAAGCTACCATTAGGTAAATTAATATGGAGGGGTTCAACATGCTTAAGGGTTGTAAAAAGGGATTCAAGGCAGCAAGTGTGATGTGTGGCTCCTGTGTCAAGAAGCCACACTGCCGAGATGGGTGTGCGTGTAAAAAGGGATAAGCAATAGGGAGGTATACCTGAGCTTGATAGATTGAAGGTATCAATGGAGGCAGAGGTGGAGGCAACTTTCGGAGCCGGTATGATAGAGGCAGAGAACGGAGCATGGAGGCTTGCGTTTAGATGGGCTATTACGTTCTGTATCTGCGATGGGCTGAGTGCGGCAACAGAAGCGGTGGAGCTGAAGTCAGAGGCCGAAGACATAGCAAAAACAGGGGCGGTCACGGACGTGACCGAGGAAGAAGACCCCGAGCTGTGCCCTTTCACGTGGGCCTGAGAAGATTTGGGAATGGGCTATGGTTACTACTGCTGCTTATGGGTTTCAGTAGTGGGCTAGGAAATAATGGACTACAGGCCCTCCAGGCCCATTTCCATGTTGAGTTGAATGATTGTGAAAGGATGTGGTACGGGCCTCAAATTGAGGCCCTTGGACTTTAGTAAGTGGGCTCCTGGATTTGGGCTTATAACCGATGGGGTAGCCGTGGAGCTTATAACAGCGGTTCACAAGATGGCCCATGAGCCCACAATGAGAGCACAAGGGCCTTCGTCTTCCACCTTGTGCTAGGGCAACAGTGCCCACGCCTACAGCTGCTTCTGAACCAAAAGGCGCCCCTTTGATTCCTATGGAGTGATGTCGCTCCTCCTGCACTACTAAGCTGAAGACCTTCGCAATTTGAGGAGAAGATTCCATCATCAGAATTTGGCTACGTATTCCGGCGTATGATTCGTTGAGTTCCATCAGAAAGAGCATCAGCAGCTCTTGTTCCTGGTAATCGTTCCAAGCCCTCATTCCACCACAATGGCATACGTGTGTGGGCTGATAAGTTTTTAGTTCATCCTACATAGTCTTCATTCTGGTATAGTATGCATTCACGGTGAGGGAGCCTTGCGTGAAAGCGTTCATGGATTTCTTCAACTGAAATATTCTTGGTGCATTGCTTTGTTGAAATCTATGTTGTTAATCGGAGCAAATAGCTTGAACATTTTCAAGGTAAAGCAAATTATCTGTGATGTCCTTCGCGACTGCATTGAGAAGCTATGAAATCACCATGGAGTTGCAGCGAGACCATGCTCCTGCCATGGAGTCTGTACTGTCGGGTTGCGGCACCGAATCGTCTATGAAGCCCAGCTTGTTCTTCTCGTTCAACGCAATTCGCATCGCACGCTCCCAAGTGTTGTAGTTATTTCCATTCAAGACGTGGATGACCAAGATTAATCCCAGATGATCACCACTGTGGAGGAAGAAGAGGTTATGAATGTCGTCGCTCATTACAGCTTGACCAGCTTGCGGATTATGAGCGATGGAAGAATCTGATTGGGGATTGCTGGAATCACCACCTCTGGCTATTTGGCGAGATAAATCGCGGCACGATTTGGCAGCAGATCAAGAGCAATATTGCTTTGATACCATATTAGAAAACAGAGAATGATTTCGGAGAATGAATAATCTGTTGATTTTTTCATTGATAAATGATGTAATGAAAAATATAAATAGCTGTGTAAATGAGTAAAAAGACAAAAACAGTTATAATAGAATGTACAATAAAAAATATCACAAATTTTAATTCTGATCTTAAGAGTTTTTTTAATAAATTAATAATAATCTACTTATTGTTACAGTAAAAATAAAAGACGGTTAGATTTTAAAAATAGAATATCATTTTAATTATTAATAAAAAATAACTTAAGTTATTTTGTGAAGAAATAAAAGTTTAGTATTTTAGATTTTGTAGGTGTTAAAGCATTAGTGGTGGTGGAAGATTACGAGGATCATTATTTTACCAAACCCCCATCGCCAAGGTCTTTGGATGAAGTCTTAATTTAATATTAAATGGAATAAATTTCCACGGCGTCTAGATTTGCGTGAGTAATCACAATTAGCATTACTTTTATTATTAAGAAAATAGTCATATTAGTTTGATTTATTTATGTCAGACTTTCCTCTCATGCGTAAGAGATTACCTGTTAAGATTAAAATTACAAATACTGCGGTAAACAAATTTTACTGAAATTAATTTTTAATTAATCTAGGTCAGTCAACTGATTACTTCTATCAAATTCTGACCAATATTAGTTTTTGATCCTGACAAAATTTAGTTTCAAATTTATTTTAAATTTTTTTTAATTTAGTGATAATCAATATAGAGTGGTTTAATTTCAGATGCATTGAACTAAATTTAACCCTTAATTCAACATAAGTACAATCAGATAAAAAAAAAGACGAGTTTAAATTATTAGCTAAAACTTCAACTTTTAATAAAATTAATAAATTCAACTGCCTGCCTACGCTGATCATTAGATTGAGCAGAAAAAAAAGAAGAAAGAAAAAGAGTAATTGATTATTGAATGAAGTAAAAAGACTTTTAACCACCATGTCAAGTATAATGTTTTGACAAAACAGAATATACATTTGCTTGCATATTTGTATCATCTTTCGTGCTTATCAATCAAAATCCACCTGTCACTAATTCTGATTTGCCTCGTATGAAGGAGTTTTTTTCAAGTCTATCATCATTGAATTTGTGGGTCAGGAAAATTTTAAAAGTAAACGTTTTGCAAGATTAAATAAAATGAAAATTTCAATGGACGATGTTATTTGAAACGGTCATTTCCAGCCGCTTTTCGCAGTAATTTGTCGTACTTTTAATATTACCTTTTTCTTCAAAGAAGTTTCCTTTTCTTTTTGATATTTCCCACCATAATGATTAAATACCATGTATAATTAATTTCCTTTTTTAATAAACAATTGATTGAATCTCTATTTCGGAGCATCCCCGAAATTCCCATTTTGAGAAAATGTCTCTTTGATTGGTGATTAGCAGGAAGGTCAGCTATGCTGCTTGATATCACTATATAAGTGTTGAGGTGCAGAAAAAGAAATTGGTAAAGTTGTTTCTGATTTGGGGAATTACTGAATTCGAGTCCTGAAGTAGCATATATTAGAGAAGTATTAAATTGGTGATGGGAGGTAGTAGTTCAAAAAGATCGAGGCAGGGACTGTCTTCCTCGAGTGGGTCTGCAAATTCTTCTCCATGGAGTCATTATGGATATCCACAACAACACCTGTATTATACGCCGCAGCATCGACATGCGCCTGCAAGTTCGTATAGTTCGCAGACGCCACGGCCGCATAGGACATTTGAAAGGAAATACTCGAGAATAGCTGATAACTATACCACCTTGGAACAGGTTAGAGGCGTCTGTTTGTAGGCGCTATTTACTCTCATTTTCTCTTGTATCTGCACTTTTAATTCATGGGGTGCGAATAGCACCTGCTCATTTGCTGTTTTCAGTGTCTGTTTGGTAAGGTGCCTGGGAATTGGGAATGGTTTCTTGCTTATTTATGGCTGCTTAAGGATTGATTGATCATCAAAATGAATATGTATTTTGGATTTATGGCAGGTTACATCTGCTCTTGCACAAGCTGGGCTTGAGTCTTCTAACCTCATTGTTGGTATTGATTTCACAAAAAGCAATGAGTGGACAGGTTCTTAAGATTAATCTTGATGTTAAGAACTTCTATACTTGCCTAGATGCAACATCTGCTTATTTTTGTTTTGGAATTAGGTTCTAGGTCATTCAACCGGCGAAGTTTGCACGATATTGGAAATGGTTTAAATCCCTATGAACAAGCAATAACAATTATTGGAAAGACTCTATCTGTTTTTGATGAGGATAACTTGATTCCCTGTTTTGGATTTGGAGATGGTAATACTAATTGTTCTTTTTCCATCTTTTGTTTCTATTGCAACAAATGTTTTGCTGAGAGGAGATGATATTTAATGTGCTTCCTTTCTAATTTTGCAGCATCAACACATGATCAAGATGTCTTCAGCTTTCATTCAGATGAGACGTTTTGTAATGGATTTGAGGAAGTCCTAACTTGCTACAGGGAAATCATTCCCCGACTTCGACTTGCAGGTGCTGCAACTTGTTTTATCGGCTTGTATCTTATAAATCATTTCAAGTTCAACTAGTAAGTTCCTAGAATATGTGACTTATTTTTCTTTATTGCAGGACCCACATCTTTTGCACCTATTATTGAAATGGCCATGACAATTGTTGAGCAAAGTGGCGGTCAATACCATGTTTTGTTGATAATTGCAGATGGCCAGGTAACTGATTGCTTTCAATATTTGTGGAGTGTATAGAATCTTAATGAGATACCAAGAAATCTCAATAATTAGTTTAGAACCCCACAATGGAAAGTGATATTTTCCCTGTATTAATGACACTTCAAAGCTTACAGAAGGAAATTCCTGGTAGCAATTGGATGAGAAAGTTGACAATTGTTATAGCTGTATGCAATTGAGGTTTTGAGGAGTTAGAATTAAGTAAAACTTAAGGAAAATTGTGACAAGATAAATATACAGACATTTTTATTTGCCTTGTCTTCTGTAGGAAGACATCTGCCTAAATAAAGTTGAGAAGGTATGAAGTATGGTAAAGCTTTCTGCTGCAAAAACATAGATTCAGGAAGCAGCTGTATTGTACATACATCCATGCAATAGAGATATGCGTGTGGGTGCGCTTACCATTGTTACTTCTTCAGTGAGAGTGTATCTCAGTTTTTATTTACTGATATAAGGAACGCCCACAAACAAACAGAAAAATAGTTTTTAGTCAGGAAGCTGACTCCAATCCCGACAACTATAATCCCAAATACTGTCCTTAAAGGCAGAAATATATCTTATTCTGTTCTAAACAATTTTCTTAAACAGATGGCATATCCCTTCTGGTTTCTGTTCTAGCAATTGTGTTATGACAGAAATTGTCCACTTTGTTAGGTTACAAGAAGTGTTGATACACAGCATGGTCAGCTTAGCCCACAAGAACAGAAGACAATTGATGCAATTGTGAGAGCAAGGTATACATCCTAACTGTGAAATGTAACAGTGGCATATTTTAAGTAACTTGCTGCTATTAGGTTTCTGAGCCACATACTTACCTGCTTGTTTAATTGCAGTGAATTTCCTTTGTCAATAGTTTTGGTTGGGGTTGGAGATGGTCCTTGGGATATAATGAGGGAGTTTGATGATAACATCCCTGCTCGTGCTTTTGATAATTTTCAGGTAAGGAGTAGCTTCTGTAATTCCTTTCTTCATATATTTAAGGAACATTATTTCTTTACATATTTGAAGTTGTGATATTAATGTCCTTAAACAAGAATAACTGGAAATAATTTTTTTTTTTTGGTCTTGTTAGTTTGTGAACTTTACAGAAATTATGACAAAGAAAATAGATCCATCCAGAAAACAGACCGAATTTGCTCTTTCAGCCTTGATGGAGATACCATCTCAATATAAAGCAACTATAGAACTAGGCATATTGGGGTACTCACTGATATTTAATGTACATTATCATCCATGGATTAAGTTATACATGATATTAAAGCTGCACTTTTTTTTTCTCTCACTTGAAACTTTAAAGCAGTCAACGGACAGGAAATGGACCGGACAGGGTTCCTCTTCCCCCACCTCGATATGGTGCATCCTCTTTCAACAGCAGCAGAAAGACCTCTCGCTCAAATAGTTTTCAGCAGCCGCTACATTCATATTCTGGATATGATGCAGGAGTTAGTGCAGCCCCATCTTCTAGTTCAGTTTATGATAATCAGGTACATGTATCGTTTCATCGGAAGTAAATCCATTTCAATGGTTATTGTTTTTGTTCCATGAGCACCTGCATGAGTGTTTTCCTACCTCTTCGAGAATAAACAAGTTTCTTATTAGTGGGTTCATCTATATCTTCACCTCTCGACTGCCACTAAAAATGCTTAAATCTCTTCTCATTCACTCACAATTTTCTTTTATTTGGTGAACTAAAATAGCTTTGCCCCATTTGTCTTACAAATAAGAAGGATATGGCCTTTGGTTGTGGTCATCAGGTAAGTTACATATCTTTCCCCATTATTTATCCCAAAGGATCATGATCTAGGGATTGTACTGACATCAAACTTTGCTTCTCTATTCGGCAGACTTGCTGTGACTGTGGAGAAGGCCTCGAATTATGCCCCATTTGTCGGAGCGCCATCGAGACTAGAATTAGGCTCTTTTAATAAGCTTTCTTGTACATATATGATCATATTTGATTGGCAACAGCTGAATCAAATTTTCATGACTGTCTGGAAGTGAAAGGATTCCATAGGTTATTACAACTTCTACTCATCCCAGAAATGAAAATTGTTGAAAGGTGAGTTTAACTGGAAACCGACGAGGCTCCAAACAGATGATGTCCTTATGTCGGTGCATGTTTTTGGTACATGCATGAGAAAACGAAAAGAGTAGGTAATCACTGGCTGGCAGAGGTCAACAGAAGCTGGGCTGTTGATCTGATGAGATAATCACCCTTTTGCTTGGTACTTGATTACTTGTTAAAAAAGAATTACTGGAGAATTAGGTTTGGTTTGTGAGAGTGATAGACGAATAAAGTTACAGAAGCATCCTCGTTCTTTTGTTCCTTCATTGTGTGTAATCTCTTTTCCTTTTCCCATCCTTGAGTGCTAGCAAGGCTCAGACTTGAACCCGATAGGTGTCCTCGAGTTTGTATAGTTTATTCATGCTCCTACCAATGTACATATTTGTTTCAAGCTTCCAACAGTTGTGTTTATAACATTACTGAAGAACATTGTAGTCACAATTCTGCTTCAAATTTTCTTTTGCTGCTGCTAGTGTACAATATTTTTCTGGGTACTGACTCCTATTTTGAAGTCTGATTCTTGATATTCTTACTGTATGTATGGAATAAGAATATTTCAGCTCCACTTACTGAAAAGTCGAATTTTCATTATTTATAATGAATTAATTAACAAGAACCCATGATCCAATCACATGAATAACAAACAAATTTTCAATAGAGAATAAAAAAGAGTGTAGATAAAGATTGGAACATAAGAGAATCATAGGAGTGTAATGAAAGATTTTTCTGAGTGTTATGATTGACATGAATTCTTTTCAGCTGTGAATCTCCTTAATGTTAGAAATCCGACTAGGACTCTACCCTCTTAGACATTTCATTACTGATTGTGTTAACATCATCAAAGATCTGAACCCATAACCCTTTACCCTCAAATTGTTAGGTTGCAGTATATGAAAACTATTGATGGAGGAAATGATTAAGTCAGTGAATTGCCTTACAAGTTTAGAAAAGGTTCTAAAAGAGAGAACTCTGCAGTTGCAATTCGAAAGGTGGCTCCCAGATTGTCCCCCACGCCAAACCCAACTATCAATATATAACTTGGCTTCTTTCCAACAAAAATATATAATATTTATATTATTTATGTCATATAAATGTAGAAATCATATTTCTGAACTTGATCAAGTGAAGCAAGAGAATTTCTGACGACTGTTATTGAGTCCATGTGATCATGGCTTGTGGGACATTTTTGCCTCGGCATAAAACCGTGTTTTCAGTGTCTTGAAATCATTTAGGTTTCCCTAAAATCTTGTGTTGATCGCGAGTGTCTTCGGCACTTTTTACTTTTCTTGGTAGCTGTTGTTGCCTTTAAGTTTCGTGTTTCCCTTAATAGTTTTTGCCTTCAGCTTATTGCAATAATTCTTAACTACAAATGATGATTATGGTAAAGTAAATTATGTCTTAGGCTCCTAAATATGTCTTTAAAAAAAAAAATTAACAGTAAATTTAATTATCTCCAACAGTTGGAAATATTAGCTGACAACTAAAATTTATGAAATGAGATTTTTATAATCCATAGTCAAATTTGATTTTCTTTAATCCTGATAAAATTAATTAAAGGATTTTAAATTCCTTTTAATCAAGTATATAAGTGTGACTTCCAAGTTTTATATGCGGACTCCAAAACACAAATCCAGCAATGGAGAAAACGAGGATCATTTCCTTTCTCCTTCTCTTCTTCTTTACCTTCCTCTCTCTTCACCTCATCATCATCACACTACAAAATACTGCTCTGCCAACCATGGCCATCCCTCTCTCCACCGATAATCGTTGGATTGTGGACGAGAACGGGCAGCGAGTGAAGCTGGCTTGTGTTAATTGGGTGACGCATCTGGAGCCAATGGTGGCGGAGGGACTCAGCAAGCGCCCCATGGATTCGATCTCAAAAACAATTGTGTCGATGGGATTCAACTGCGTACGGTTCACTTGGCCGACTTTCTTGGTCACCAACGACTCTCTAGCCTCTCTAACTGTGAGACAGTCTTTTCAAAAACTCGGTCTGTTTGAATCCATTGCTGGTATCCAAGCAAATAATCCGTCTATAATTGATCTTCCTCTCATCAAAGCGTATCAGGTAATTAGTTTCTTCTTCTTTTGAATTTTCTCAGAAAAAAAATCAAAAAGAAGATTAGGATTAGGATGAGGTCAAAAGGCTCAAAATCAGAAAGGCAGGATTTGATGATTGGTGAGGATTGAGCATAAGGTATAGGTGGAGTGACCAATCAGATAGCGACACAGCAGAGCATTTGAATAATATCTAATATTGGTTGTGTTTTTAATTAATAGTTGAACTTTTCTTTTTGTTTTTTCTGTTGAGTAGTATGTTTAGTTGATCACCTTTTTCTTACTGAATTAAAAATTGAAAAATTTTTAAAATATACATTAAACTATTAAATGATGTATGACCTATAGATAATGATTGGATTCTTATCTTAATTTTTTTTTTTTTTTTTAAAAAAAAATTCAGACAGTGGTATCGAACCTCGGAGAAAACAAGGTGATGGTGATTCTAGACAATCATATAAGTAAGCCCGGTTGGTGTTGCAGTAACTTGGATGGTAATGGTTTTTTTGGCGATCAATACTTCAATCCTGATGTGTGGATTGCTGGTTTAACTCGAATTGCCACCATGTTTAATGGTGTTTCCACCGTGATTGGTATGAGTCTCAGAAATGAACTTAGAGGTCCTAGACAGAACGTAAATGATTGGTACAGGTACACTATATTTTTAAATCATTTTTATTCTTAAATTAATTTTAAAAGTTTAATTATTTTTTATTTAAATAAATATAAAATTACTCGTCAACATACATATGTTTTTAAAATATTAATTTTAATATTTTGATTTTATAAGTAAAATAATTATTTAAAAATAATTAATTATTTTATTATATTTTTAAATATTATTATATTAGTTCTAAATCATACTATATTTTAGAAGAACAAGACACAAGGGTGGGATAACATCAAATTAAAGTATATTTTATTACCTTTTTAATTTGGTTTTGTTTACTTCTGTACTAATAAATATTTTTTAAAAATAATTAAAAAACAAAATATAGTAATTATGATGTTGTTGTGCATAGAAGAGAGTTATACAAATTTATTATATTGTAAAATATTTTTATTTATTTCTACATTTTAAGATATATATTTAAACTAATAAATACTTTTCTAATTTTTTTCATTTTATTTAACTAATCATTTTTTTTTTAAATATTTTTAAGCATCTAATATATTTCTTACAATTAATCAACCATGTCGACTAAGTATTAAACTAGTGGTATTAAATATAATACTATATCATCTAACATATCATTACCTTGTGGTAGTAATATCATTTATTAATAATTATATAATTATATTAAAAATTTAAAATAAATTAAAATTAAATCGATAAAAAAAATAAAATTATCATACAATTAAAATAGGAGAAAATAAAATTAGATATAATTTATTCAATCATTCTTTATTTATTTATTTTAATCTATTCAATGGTTTCTCATATTTTTCTTCTTCCGTGACTCCTAAGCTCCTTTTTCCTATGAACTCATCAATGATTGTAAAACTTAATGAACAAAAACTAAATAAAAAGTGTTAAATAATTTTGAATATATTAGACTATTTTAAACTTAAAGATTGAATAAACTTGAAAAATATAAATTATGAAAAGTTTGTTTAATAATTACTATTAGTAATTTTAACGAATTGAATTTGAAGGTACATGGTAGCAGGAGCAGAATCAGTGCATGAAGCAAATCCATACGTTCTTATTATACTTTCTGGTCTAAACTATGATAGAGACTTATCTTTTGTTCGAAACCGAGCAATAAATTTGACATTCACTGGAAAGATAGTATTTGAGTGGCATTGGTATGGATTCTCGGATGGTAGTGCATGGGAAAGTGGCAACCCAAATCAAGTGTGTGGCAGAGCAATGAGTAATATGAAGCGCACATCAGAATTCTTATTAGATCAAGGTTGGCCATTGTTTGTGAGTGAATTTGGGGCAGATCAAAGAGGAACAAATGTGAATGACAACAGGTATTTAAATTGTTTCATGGGTGTGGCAGCTGACCTTGATCTAGATTGGGCATTGTGGACACTTGTTGGAAGTTATTATTTGAGAGAAGGGGTAATTGGATTAAATGAAAATTATGGGTTATTTAACTGGAATTGGTGTGATATTAGGAATTCAAGCTTCTTACAGAAAATATCTGCCATCCAAACTCCTTTTCAAGGTACATACGTATGATCTCTTTCTATGCATTAAAAAGTTTATAATTTGTTTTATTTTAAGTTTCTTAATAATTTGTTTTAAATTGCAGGACCAGGACTATCTGAAAAGAATAAGCATAAAGTAATATTTCATCCATTAACAGGATTTTGTATCCTAAGAAAATCATTACTTGATCCACTAATATTGGGTCCATGCACTGAATCTGAGGGTTGGAGTTACACATCTCAACATATTATATCCATTAAAGGAACATACTTATGTTTAAAAGTTGAAGAATTGGAAAAACCTGTGAAATTAAGTATTATTTGTACAGATTCTAGTTCAAAATGGGAACTTATATCAGATTCTAAGATGCATCTTTCTTCTAAACTAAGCAATGGAACATCTATTTGCTTGGATGTGGACTCAACCAACACTGTCGTTACAAATAGTTGCAAGTGTTTGACTAGAGATAACAAGTGTGATCCTGCCAGTCAGTGGTTTAAACTTGTTGATAGCACTAGAAATTTATCTGTAATAAATTCTTTTCGTCGAACTAATCCAATTTTAGAATTGCCTAGAAGTGGATCGACGCAATAGCAATTTATAACAGTGAAAATATATATCTACCTTTACTATGAGTAACTCATATTACATGTGTATCAAGATATGTTTCTAATTTTTTACTAGTTTATGTTGCATAAATTTGGAC